CAAGGATGTTTTGATTTAAAAAGGTCTGCTCATTTTAGTGACTCCGCCATTTTATAGAAAGGGAAACAGTTTTGAAATGAATTGTCTTTATAAAGACCCATAATTTGCAAGCAAAATTCCCACTCTACAAAATGTGAAATGTTCTAAGCAACAGCTGTGAGCTTTTCAAACGTGCACTACCCTTTAACGGTTCAACTGTTGCCAAGGAAAATGGAGTTGGCTTTAAACATCTTCCTTTAATTCTGCATTTACCCTCAATCAGAGATTGACGTAACAAGTTCTTGGACAGTGTTTTCATAAAGACTGGTAAAAGAAATGGAGATGTGGAAATTCAAGTTTCCTTAAGGTAGGAGGCTGGTATTTTAGCCAATTTTATAGGGCCTCATGAACTTTTATCAGAGCAAATATGGGCACTGTTAAAAGTGGCCAATCATTTGAAATCAGTAGAGGGAGCCTGCTTTCACCCGAGAGCCATCTTTTCCTGTTCCCAGCTCAGTTCAAGACAGGAATATTCTGTATCTTTCAGGGCACAAAAATTTTCTTTTTTACTCAGGAGCCATTTCTGGGAATGAGCCTTGATGGTTAACATAAACAAGAGAAATGCAATGCATTTTTTTTTTTTTTTGGGGTCACCACTTGCACATATGGTATATATAGTTTTATTTACTGATGGTTCTATTTCCTATGGAAATAGATATGGATGTATGGAAAACATGATATAATACTGAGGGGAAAAACTAGGCTACAGAACAACGCATATTAAAAGAAAAAAAAATACTTGAGGAAAGTACACTAAAATGCTAACAGTGGTTAAGGGATTATGAGTGTTAATTATTCCCCTCCCCCCATTTATTAAGTTTTGAACAAAGTATCCTGCCTTTGGAATTAGCATTAAGAATTTCTTTCTCGCCCAGCCCGGTGTGGCTCAGCGGTTGAGTGTCCACCCAGGAACCAAGAGGTCACACTGGTCGGGGCACATGCCGGGGTTGTGGACTTGATCCCCAGTGTGGGGTGTGCTGGAGGCAGCCAATCAATGATTCTTTCATCATTGATGTCTCTATGTCTCTCTTCCTCTCTGAAATCAATAAAAACATATTTAAAAAAATTTCTTTCTTCCTTTCCCTCCCACCCCCTTCCCACAAAAGAGGTATGTAGAGTGCATCCAAATAGAGTGTCCAAGAATATTATCTGGAAACGCACCATTTGGCCTAGGGTTCGCCAAGGACGCAAACACATTTTTAAATATTTTATCACTTGTTCTAGCTAGAGCTAAGTGAAAGCTTCTGCACAAACTCCTTTGATCCACCCGGCCAATTCAAAGCTGCTCCCGAGTTCGCCGCGCCCAGCGCGGCGTGGGGGTTTCTGAGCTCGGAGCGGCTGGAGGGACCGTGCGGAGGGTCTCAGTGCCCGCAAACGATTGCGGAGCGTGGTCAGCGTCCCCACCTGTACAAGCCACACCGAGCCGCCCTCAAACACGGCTTGCAGGAGCGTCAGGGAGCTGACATTAAAAAACAAACAAACAAATAAACAAGGGGTTTAGGGAAAAGGAGACGAGGTGAGAGAGAATTGGAAGCGATACCTAACCCTTGGCCAGGCCCCAGGGGCTCAGATTTCGGTGACAGGTCTCCCACAAGCTTCAGCGGGGAGCGATTGCGGGGGGTTGCACAGCAGGCTGCAAGGGGCCCGTTGGCACAGGCGCGGGTGGGTATCTTATTTCTGTCCTGAGTGGGGCTCCTCGAGCCCAGAAGGGTCATCCTGGCCTCTGAAGGGGGAGCGGAATCCCAGCCCGGGGTGCCCCCACCCTTAGCCGATCTTGGCCTTGGAATCCTCTGGTTGAAGACGATCGCCGCCCAGAGGTTTCGCAATGCGTGGAAACCCATTCCATTGATGTGTCCGTGGTGGCACAGCTCCCGGGTTTAGGGAGCTCCTCTCAGGCCTGGCGGCTGCATTGACCATCGTCTTCCAGCCATCCTGTCTCCTGGCGGAAGCGGCTGCAGCGCGGCCGGAGCTCTGGGCTGCTGCATCCGGGTCCCTCGCCCGAAGCCCAATCCCCGCTCTCCTCTCTTCCCACTCTCCAGTTTCCCCGCCCCCTCCCCCCGCCGCCAATCCCTGACCGGCTCTCAGCCGCACATGCTGGCATGGGAGTGAAGGCGGGCGCCGGCCAATGAGGCCTCGCTTCCCGTTTGAAGCATCCAATGAGCGGGCGCCGGGGGCGGGCGCTGCTGCCCAGAAGGTTCGGTTGCGCGTGTGCCATGGACTCAGCCGCCCGGTGATATTGACAATAGGAGAGAGAAAGGGGCATTGACGGGCACCCACTGCGGGTACCGAGCGGGCGACTCTGGCAGCGGCGGCTCCAGCTCCGGCGGCTCCTCCTCCTTCGTCTGCTGCCGCTGCGGATCCAAGTCTTCCTCCCTCCCTTCCCCCTTCCCACGTCGCCGCCGCCGCCGCCGCCGCGCCAGGTCCGGGGCAACGAGCTGAGGCGCCGCCCGCCGGGAATGTGAGCGAGGAGCCGCCGGCGGAGCCGCAACGGGGGTCGGTGCCGATTTGATGGGACGGGCCCGAGGGGGAGGATCGTGAGGCCGCCGCCGCCGCCGGAGCGCCGAGGTTCAGTCCGGCCGTGAGGCCTAGAGGCGCCGCCGCCGCCGCGGAACCGGAGGGACGCCGCGCCGGACAGCCTTCGCCCCGGGCTCCCCGCCGCTGCCCGGACCTCCTCCCGCAGGTCGGGGTCCCGCCACCCGCCCCCGCAGCGGCCCTCTCGCGCGTCTCCCGCCCCCCAAAGCCTCAGATCATCTTCGGATTCTTCCCCAGAAGCTTCAAGGTAACTTCGTCCCCCCCAGCTCCGGGCTTCGCCCGCTTCTCTGCTTCCTCCCCGTCTTCCCGGGGAGCCTGCCGGGCACCGGCCGCGGGAAGGCCTGGCCGGGGGCAGGCAGGCGAGGAGCGCGGTGGGCTGGCTGGGGTGCCGGAGAGGAGGGCCCGTCCCACTTGTCTGATTTACCTGCAAATGCTTCGGCTGATGCCTCTCCCGCACGCACCCCTCGCCCTCACCCTTTCCTCTGCACCTTCCGGCATCGGAGGCGTGTTCTCGGACCCCTGCTCCCCTGACGGACCGGGCGGGGAGAGAAGGGGAGATGAGGGTTCTGTGGCCGCTTATCTTCTGGGCTTGGGGTGGGGGTGGGTAGGAGCAAAGTGAGTCTGTGAAGCTATGTCTACAGACGAACCTCCTCTTCCCCGTGGTGGTTCTCCACCCCGTTACCTCCCTTGGATTATCCTGAGCCTTGGAAATGCCCGGTGCTTGGAGGAGGATGGAGCTTCGGGCGCCTCCGGTCCAGCGCGAAACCTGTTTCCCCGGGCTCTGCCCCGCGGTTGCGGCCGCGCGTTCAGTTGTGCGGCGCTCCAGGGCTGAGGTCCTTGACGTTGATTCTTGGCCGCGGACAGAAGGGCCAAGGGATTAAAAAAAAAAAATTTGCTACCAATAAGCCAGGTGGGAGACGAGGAATAAAGAAGAGATAAGAAGAGAAATGGAGGAACGGGATTGACTGAAATATTGGGTTGTTACGGTTAAAGGAAATCTAAATAATTCACATGCCAGATGGGGAAAGCGGGCCCCTAAATTTACACTGTACAAATGTGATGGGGCGCTTTCCGCTGATGCAGTCATTATGAAGAATTTTAAGTGATCTTCCTTCTTGTGTGGTCATACATAGTTTACAATTCCGTTTTTAATCTGTCACATAGTATTTGATGAACAGATAAATTTCTGAAAACTTAAAAAAAAAAAGAGAACCAGGATTGCAACCCTCAGTATCATATGGTTTTGTGTGTGTGTATGTTTGTGTTTTTGTACGTGTGTTTTTTAATGTTTTTGTTATTTTTATTTTATCAGAAGCCAGGTTATTGAGATAACTTTTTATTCTTACATGTTTCCCATCCAAGTACTAACCGGGCCGACCCTGCTTAGCTTCCGAGATCAGACGTTATTCTTACATGTTTAGAAAGAAACTAGCTTACCCTTTCATTTAAACATTTGTCTTCTGTTTGGAATGACAGCATTTCCCTCATATACATTATTTCTATTCCAGTCTGCCATTAATCTTGCAGGGAAATAATGGCATCTTTTTAAATTGTTGAATGAAATTGAGCTTAACATGTTACTTTTAAGAAATAGCATTCATTTTAATGATTTGACAGGATTAAAAAATCCAAAAGAACTGTTCAGTTTCATCAGTTTGATGGAATGAAAATTAATATTTGATAATGAACTTCAAGGGAACTCAGCTTGGTGGTCTAAGTGGGCTGTGGATTTAAGTTTTCATTTCAACTTTGACACATGATTTCATCATAGTTTTGTTTATTAAGCTTTAATAACTTAAGATGCCTTCATTAAAAAAGATGTCTTTGAAATGATTTTAATTATGCCTTTAATGTGTTCTGTTTAAAGTAATGTAGCCTGTTCTTATTTGCAGTGTGTTGTAGTTTATCATAGCAAACACAGCCAGCAAATTGCATTAAAAGTCATGCCTAGATAGTTTCAGTAATTGTAAATGTCACTTGCTGCGATACATTGGTGTAATGCTTGAAGTACGATACAGGTCCCATTCATAATATTAAATATCTAGGGAAAATGTATTAATGGAAGTTTTCCAGCTGTAGAATACCTCTAACATTACTTCAGGAATCTCAAGCTTTATAGTTAGAAATGAATAAATAGCATAGAATTTTTCAAGTCTAAATGAGCATCTTTAATGCTTATCATAGCAGGAACAGCATAATACATTAGAATTACAGTATTGCTTATATGGTAGTTATATTACTTCTGTTTGTCACCAGATTTTTATGTTGTCTCATTGAATATGATTTTCCTTAGTTGATTTTTATTTGCTTTATTACATAGTCTCATTTTCATGAATATTGTATATGGGAATTTTAGAATTTGTGCAACTCACATTTATGCTTTAGCCTTGGGAATATGTTTACGTTGCCTCTTTCTCTTCAGTAGGGATATGTCCTCAGCACCAACTACTCCTCCATCAGTGGATAAAGTAGACGGATTTTCTCGGAAGTCCGTCAGAAAAGCCAGACAGAAGAGGTCGCAAAGTTCCTCACAGTTTAGGTCTCAAGGCAAGCCTATTGAGTTAACACCTCTGCCACTGCTGAAAGGTAAGGCTCATGACCAGGTGGTGGGTTCCTTTTCAGTTGATCTTTTTATATCTGTATATAATTTCCTTTTTGTAGAGTTTGATATTTGTTAATTTTTTGTGTCACAAATTGAGGGATGGGAGATTTCAGACTTGTTGAAGTTTTTGGTGTGTGATCAGATACGCCCTTTCTCCCTTTTAAAGGGCTCAATTTAATATAAATAACTGTGGATAAATGAAAATAACTTATTATCAGGAGGATCTCTCACATTGATAAGCAGGAAAATTGACTGCCAGAGAAACTAAGATATCTGGATCTGTATTTTTCATTTGACATTTTGATGTACATGCTGTGTGCAATGACAATTTCAAATTGTACAGTCTTAATTATAGGACGTAGACCTAATAGAGGAGAGGTGCCATTAACTTACATATAAAAAATGATGTTTGAAAGATTTCATTTTTAAAAATCAAGAAAAAAGATGGTCAGGTAGTAATTGGTTACATACATTCTTGTTTTCAGATAGTACAAATAAAAAGTATATGTTGTGATCATTCTTGTTTAATAATATTTTTCTCTTCACATTGGAATATATTAAGGACTAGTTTTTAAATATCAACTTGTATTTCTAAATCAGACCTTTCAACTTTTGTTTAGGTAGGCGGATACTTTTGGTTGCTTTTTAAATTTTTATCTGTTAGCTTTATGTTCATGAACAGGCATTGTTTGAAAGGTGTTGAAACATAGCATCTATGTCATGGAATCTATCAGAATCTACCTTTGAAGGTAGAGTTTTGTCTGCCTCACGCTTAAGAGCAAAGAGAAAGGGGACATGCACAATATAAGGCACTATTTCAAAAAGGCTGACTAACATAGCTCTGGTTTCTTTACCAGTGATGACATCCTCTTTTACTATTTAAAAATATTTTTCTACCTTTTGTATTTGAAAATTTTATAAAAACAATCAGGGATCTTATTATTAGGTTACAGTAGAATTAATCATAGGAGCATATTGATTGAACAACAATTATTGTATTGTTACCTAATATATACTTAATATATGTAATATATATTATCTAAGGAAGGCAGGTGGCCTTCCTGAGGTGAGAATAGAAGCCCTGGGGTCACATACGTAGGTTTCAATTTTGGGTCCACTCATAGCAATGTGACCTCTAAACAATGTTTCTTTGGAAAATCTCCAAAATTAGGAAAGTAGTAGTAGTATTTAAAAAATATATTCATTTATTAAATTGATTGGGGTAACATTGGTCACCATGAACATATAGGTTTCAGATATGGGTCTCTGTGTTACAAGTTCAGTATATTGCACCATGTTCCCACCACCCAAAGTCCATTCTTCTCCTGACACCTTATATTAGGATCCCCCTTCTCCTCCGCATCCCCTAGAAGAGTATTAGAATTTACCTCAGAGAATCAATGCCTTCAAGTAGGTAAAACATTTAGTTCAGTGCTGGGTACATTGTAGGAGTTGAATATTAATTATTATAAGTATAGGAAGAACTGTGTAATAGAAAATGCTTATCAGTGTTTTTTAGTTGATTTACATTTTTTTTTTAATACATTACATGGATTATTTTCATTTAAGGAAGAAAAATATGGAGCATGTATGTGTAGCTGTGAGAATTAGACTTTTAAAGCAAAAGGAGAACTAGATCTTTTGGAGCAATCTCAGCATTACAGTTTAGTCAATATCAGTTTCATACTGACTTCTGATTTCAGGAATAAGAACTTGAGAAGGCAAATATAATTTATTTTCAGGGTAAATTCCATTTGTGGAGAATTACTAGATAGTATTTTTGTTAAATAACTTAATTGGCAATTGTCTACTAGGACAGGGTCTCCAAACATTTTTTGTAATTGGTTACTCTTATCAGTAAAAATAACATACACAAAGTATCCCCCAAAATGTATATACACACTTTGAATAAGTATAAAGGCAGTGCTTATTAAAATACATTTCATTTTCAAAATTGAGCTATCAGCTGTGAAAGTGGTATACATTTTTTGGGGACGCCCTGTGTATCTATTTATACATTGCATTCTTGTGCTATTATACAAATATGTAATGTTTCTGAAGAACATACATGAACAAAGGAAGTTCTAAAGGATGATATTGAAAAATAAAATGTAAAGAGTTCTAATTCTTAATTTTTGTACCTCCTTTTCCTTGCTCATCCCCAATACATGCACTGCCCCTAGCACATCCTTGTTTTGAGATCTTGCTTCTGAGAATGAATGAACCGCCTCTTCAGGTTTTGAGCCTTGTCAGTTTTGTTGCATTTTGTTTTGAGCCACAGAGAGAGATGAAGAGGTGAAGGAGAAAACTTCTTTGTCCAGGTTTTGAATTTATTGCACTTTAAAGAAACAAAATCTGAATTGAGAATTTTGCCAGTTTCAGGAGTATCATAGGTGGTTCTTTGTCCAGAGCTCTTACCTTGCTGTTGGTGGGTGGGTTTCAGGGGGCCCTTGACCCTCTTGAAATTCTAGATGTTTTTTTTTATGTCTGTATACAGATTGACATTTTTCAGGTCAAAGGCTGTAGAGCTTTCAGCAGATTTTCTCCGAAGGCTAGGGAACTCCTGCTTTGGGTGGTAGGCATCACTTTCCTAACTCAGAGCAGAGAGAGATAGCTTGTCATATAATCCCTTTCTGTAGGAAGGAGACCTCATGAGGTTTCTTCTGCATGTCTCTCCTGACTTTTATTATTTTTTTATTTTATTTTATTTTATTTTTTAAAAATATATTTTATTGATTTTGTACAGAGAGGAAGGGAGAGAGATAGAAAGCTAGAAACATCGATGAGAGAGAGTCATCGATCACCCCCCACTGGGGACATGCCCGCAACCAAGGTACATGCCCTTGACCGGAATCGAACCCGGGTCCCTTCAGTCTCCAAGCCGACACTCTATCCATTGAACCAAACCAGTCTCGGCTCTCCTGACTTTTAATTCTTTTTTTTTTTTTTATGTCAGGGAGAATTCTAAAAAGTGTTTGAAGGTAGAAGTTATTGCATGACTATAGGGGGGATGTTTGAAAAATTAAGCTAGGTAACTAGGACTACCAATTGTAAAATTGAGTGTGCCTATGAAAAAGCATTTTCCTGGAATAGCAGGGAACCTGGAAGAAGTTGGGAAGAGAAACTCAAGCTATCTTTGCTGGTGAATACATAGTTTAGTGAAGCAGTGCTGTCGGTTCTGCTGTGTGCCAGGCGATGTAATATATGGTGTCACATTGAGCTTCCCAACAATACCAAGAACAGGATGTCTGCAGTTAACTGAGCCAAGTGACTTGCCCAATCCTGCAGAGAGAGCCAGGGTTGGGACCCCAGGCCCATCAGGTTCCAGAGCCAGGGCCCGTTATGCACACTAGCAGTAGATGAACACAGGTGAGCATGGGAGCTAATTGCCATCTTGCTCATGTTGGGCTGGGATTATGTACTAAGTGAATCATCTTACTACCTTTGGAAGGAACCTGAAAATTGTGAGGATACTGAAGTGATAAGGAAGAGAAGTAGAGAGAAGAAGGGAAGAACAGCCAGGCAGGCATTTATAGGTAGGTGGGAAGATTAAGGTAGGTGGTGATGGGGAAGACTCATGGTAGAATAGTGGGCCTCAGTGCAGCCAAGAGACAGGCAGGAAGGATAGCCAGCATCTCACAATGGTTGGGAGGAGTAAGATGCTGCTCTGGGCTCCTGTAGGACTCAAATGCTGTCACAGTAAAGGCATGTCAGCCATGGGGAGGTTTGGTTTGGTAAACTGGTAGCATTCTGGCAGTGGTGTCCTTTACCATTCATCTTTCCATTTAGGGGAATTAGCTTGTTATAGGAAGGGATGTAGGTTCAAGTCCAGGCAATTATTCTAGCTTTGTGAACTGAACTTGGTGAACTGAGTGTTGGAGCTTCAATTTCCATTCTTTTTAAAAAAATATATATTTTATTGATTTTTTACAGAGAGAAGGAGAGAGGGATAGAGAGCTAGAAACGTCGATGAGAGAGAAACATCAACCAGCTGCCTCCTGCACACCCCCTACTAGGGATATGCCCGCAACCAATGTACATGCCCTTGACCGGAATCAAACCTAGGACCTTTCAGTCCGCAGACCGACGCTCTACCACTGAGCCCAACCGGTTTCGGCTCAATTTCCATTCTTATAAAACGGGACTGATATTTTCCGAGGTGGTATTGAAGGGTGAGATCAGGTGGGAAAACTGCCTAATGTGTGTTTGGTTGCTTAATAAATTTTCATTCTGTTCTCATTCTGTTTGTCATCCATCTTTCTTTGAGTTACTCCTCTGAACTTGGATCTTGTTTCAGAACACAAAGTGTTGTAAGGGGAGATCTGGCCAAAGTTCATCCATTTATGTGGGTACCATGAAAGACTTTCATTTTATGGTGATGTTACCGGTATATTTTAATTTAATTAATTCTGGTTGTTTGTGCCTGGAACACTGTTCAAAGTAAAATGGTAAACATTAAAAAGAACATGGAGAAAATTGGGAGTTGGCATCGTTTCAGGAAAATACTGTCTTCTAATAAGGAAGATACAGGCTTTCGATTTATCCTTTTTTACCAAAGCATCCTTAGAAGAGGATATCTGAAAATAGAAGGGGGTACTTCTATGTCACATTTTTTTTTTTTTTAAATTGCCTTATTATTGCTTTCGTGGCATCCTACAACTTTTTTTTTTTTTTTAAATATATATTTTATTGATTTTTTACAGAGAATAAGGGAGAGAGATAGAGAGCCAGAAACGTCAATGAGAGAGAAACATCGACCAGCTGCCTCCTGCACACCCCCTACCGGGGATGTGCCTGCAACCAATGTACAGGCCCCTGACCAGAATGCAACCTGGGACCCTTCAGTCTGCAGACCGATGCTCTACCACTGAGCCAAACCGGTTTCGGCCTCTGTCACATTTTAAAAGGACATACAGTGAGGCTTCTGAGTGGGTTCAGGCTTCTAAAGAGCTATCTGAAATTATCCCTTGAAGTCATAGATATC